GAGGCGGTCATCCCTGTTGAGATAGGGGTACACTCCCTAAGGGTCCAGCACCACGATCCCATCACCAACGAGGAAGGACTCCGCAGCAACCTCGACTTGGTGGAGGAAGCGAGGGAGATGGCTATAGTCCGCAACGCGGAGTATAAACGGCGCATGACAAGGTACTACAATTCGAGGGTGAAGCCCCGTTCCTTCCAACCTGGGGATTTGGTCCTCAAAAAAGTGATCCTCGCTACAAAGGATGCACGCGAAGGAAAGTTAGGACCAAATTGGGAAGGGCCCTACCGCGTAACAAAAGTAGTGAGACCAGACACCTACAAAATCCAAGATTCTGAGGGAAAAGTTTTACTCCACCCATGGAATGCAGAGCACTTGAAAAGGTATTACCAATGACACCTTGAGAGCATCAAAGCAGTAGAAGTTGGGACTTGATTTGATTTTTAGGGGTGTTACCCAAGATTTCAATGTATTTTTTTTTGGGAATTATTACCCAATATCGCCTTTTATAAGCAATAAATTAATAAAATTTTCTATGCCATTTACTCCAAAAAGATTTTCTGTATTTCATTTCAAAGGAGTATCGGTACAAAAATAAGGCCAAATACCGCCTTTTCAAAAAAAAAAAAATCAAAAGTCCTAAACACTCTAACTGCTCTCATGGTCGTCCCCCACCTTCTCCTCATTGTCATCAACAGCATCAGATCCCCCCTCATCACTGTCGTCAGTGGGCACGAAAGGTGAGAAGTCAATATTAGGGAAAGCGGTAGAAACCTTCCCTCGGAGATCCTCGAAACCATCAATAAAAGCATCTGCAAGACCATTCTCCAAGTCTTCCTCAGCGCGGGAAACTCTCTCCCTAGCAGCCGTCAACTTTGCCTCTGCAACAGTTGCCTCTCTGAGCATGGCCCTCCCATGGGCCTCTACAAGCTCAGCCTCCCTGAGCGTGCTCCTCTCGTGGACTGCCAAAAGCTCAGCCTCTAGCTTAGTGGCCCTCTCATGGGCTGCAGCAAGCTCACCATCCCTGAGCGTGCTCCTCTCGCGGACTGCCAAAAGCTCAGCCTCTAGCTTAGTGGCCCTCTCATGGGCTGCAGCAAGCTCACCATCCCTGAGCGCGCTCCTCTCGCGGACTGCCAAAAGCTCAGCCTCTAGCTTAATGGCCCTCTCATGGGCTGCAGCAAGCTCACCATCCCTGAGCGCGTCCCTCTCGCGGGCCGCCAAAAGCTCGGACTCAAAATTAGAAGCTTTTTCATGAGCTGCCACAAGTTCACCCTCCCGGAGCACGTCCCTCTCACGGGTCACCAAAAGCTCAGAATCAAGCTCGACAATCCTCTCCTGAGCGGTAATGAGCTCCCTCTGCACAAGGCTAAGATCCAGCTTCAGTTTGTCTTGATTATAGGCCCTCGAAAGCAAGCAGATGGAGGAAGTCGAAACCTTAAAAAAAAAAGACAAGAGATTAAGAAAAGTCAAAAACACAGGAAACGACTGGAGAAAAGGAAATAACAGACCCTTACCTGAGCCAGACCTTTCAAATACGTGTTGACGATATTATCAGTGCCCGAAGCGCTAAGCTCAGAAACTTCTGGCCCAAACACAAACCTGCCAAGCCTTGCCTTGATAGCTGCCGGTCTCCCCATCATAGGACCAGCCCAAATCGGCACTCGGGTAGAAGTTCCTGAACAAGGAGGGGTAGCACGAGGAGAGGATAAAGGTGGAACAGATGTGCCTGGCAAGGAAGATTCTGGAGTAGCAGCTGGAGAAGTTGCCAGTTGAGAAGGAGCCACCGTGGGAGTCACATGGGGGGCATCATCCCTCCTTGCCACTTTGGAAGAAGGAGGGCTCCTGCTAGAAAAGCGGGACACCACCACCCTTTTACTTGCTGCAAGAGTAGAGAAGGGTTAGATAAAAAAAAAAAAAGGAGAGGAAACTAGCTCACCCCTTTTCTTCGAAGAGGAGCCGCCAGATTTCTGAGATGGAGCAACAACTCTAGTATACTTGGGCAGGAGAACTCCCAAATCTTTACAAGGGCAAGCTTTGACAGCCTCCAATTTTCACTCCTGGTCCCGAGAAAACACAGGTATATCTGCATGGAAAAAGTGAGCACACACACAAAAAAAAAAGGAAAAAGAACTGTGCAGCATACCGGGTTTTTTAGCAGCACCCCAAAGTGTTGGCACCAAAGCTCTGTCGGCTTCTGAAGCCCATTCTCCACCAATAAAGAAGAAACAAGATTTTCAGCCACCGCAATTAGAGCGCGTTCCTGTGAGCACTGTACCACTCCGTGCGGTAAAATAGTACCATCTCCTATTTGGTGTAGGGGTTTCGCTCAAATTATATGTTGCATGAAACTCCATAGGGGAAGCATCCTCGTGGTGCACCTTTCTCCATAATGCAAGAAAACCGAGCAGGACTCTCCAACCGTTGGGCGCTAGTCGCCCCGGAGTCAAGGAAAAGTAATGCAAAACACGACAAATGGGGGAGGACATGGGAAATCTTAACCCAGCCTCAAGCATCTCCTCGTAGACAACAATATCCCCGGAAGAGTCGTCGCAAGCAAGCTCGCCCAACTCAGCCCGACGGCACAACACGGTCGGAGGGATGCGATAAGTAAAAACAAGCCTTGAAATATCTTCATCTAAGCGGAACAAACTAGAAATGGTGCTCACCTTAGACCCGTCATCATCAAGTCCCACTTTGCTCTTGCGTTTCTTATTCCGGGGCCTTAAGGAGTAGTCCAAATCACCATTGGGAGAGTCTTGAGGAACTTGAATCGGGGGAGCTACAATAGGGGCTTGATCACCAAGAGCAGCACCCAAAGCTTCCTTACTATTTGCAATGTCTAGCCCAACACCTGGAAGCGTGCCTGACTGCTGTTGCTCGTCAAAACAAGGATGCCCAGTGGCTTGAAGGGTGCCTGGCGCTTCAAAATTGCGCAAAGCAGAATTTTCGGCGCAAAAATCAGCACCTAAGGGGCCCAAATCAGTGCCTCGAGTGAGAATCGGATCAGCCCGTGCTCCCAGGCCACTGCCTAGCTCTCCCTGATGAACCTTGGACTGATTTTCAGCACCCCTTGATGGAAAAATACTGCTGCCCAGCGTTCCAAAGCCGTCCAGCGCAGCAGAACTGAAGCTGCCCAGCGCAGCTGAGCTGTCCGGGACAGCAGAAGCAGCAGCCAGGCTGCTGCCCAGCGCACCTGGGCTGTCTAGGACAGCAAGGCCAACGCACAGGCAGCTACCCAGCGCGCCTGGGCTGTCCAGGACAGGAGGAGCAGAGCCCATGCAGCCGCCCAGCCCCCCACCGCACGCGCGCGAGCTGCCCAGCTGCGCGCGCGCGCACCTGGGCTGTCCAGTCGCACGCCCAGCCTTTTTCCTTCGCTGCCCAAGCCACTCCTCGCGCTGCCCATCTCCCCTTTGCTGTCCAGCCCTTCATTTACAGCCCCAAAGCTGTCCAAAACAGCATTCAAATGCTCAAAACCAGCCTCTAAGTTCTCCAAAATGGTGCCTACTTCCTCCCTTTCTTCAACCTCCACCACTCCCTCTTCAATCGACATTGTTTACTTGAGAAGCTCAACTAGCAAGGAAGAAATCACACTCTTGAAAGGATTCAAGGAGAACACACTTTGGCTTCAACAAAATGGGTAGGACTTGAGTTTTCAAGGTTTTCAAGAGGTGGGTGCTCAACCTTAAAAATGAGTGAAATGGGTAATATGAAGAAGAAGACTATATTTATAGTCTAGGGTTTTTCAAAAAGAGGGAAAAAACTCAAATAGAAAATTATGGGCCCTCTTCAAAATAAAGTGGCCAAATAGAAAGTTATAAGTCCTTTTCAAAATAAAAAGGTCAAATAGAATATTATGGGCCCTCTTCAAAATAAAGTGGGAAAGACTTGAAGTTAAAAAAAAAAGAAAAAAAAAAAGAATAATAAAATAATATAGTCAATGCCTCCTTCTCCAAGTCTCATTGGACATGGGGCATTGGGGGGCAAATGATGGGTTAAGCCCAAATAGTCCAATTTATGTGTTAAAGTCCAACTCCAGTTGAGGAGCCCAACCTCATTTTGAATCTACCAAGCCCAAGACAGTCCAAGACCGGTTAGACTTTTTGCTTAACACGTCATCAAGAGGAGAGCATGAGAAGCTTATCTGCACCACCGAAGGAAACGGTCCAAGCTTTGACCACGTTTCATGAAGAGCTCCCCAACCTCCTCCTTCCGTTGAGGATAGGTCATGATCTCCACCAGAATGATCTCTTAGCTGCGATAAAGTAGCCTTGAGGATAAGTCATGATCTCCACAAGAATGATCTCTTAGCTGCTATAAAGTAGCCCCAATCTGTGAGGAGACGAGAGAAGAAGGTCACGCCCCACCAACACTTACAGAGGACAGACCGACGACCGGAGACCACTCCTTCTTTGATTCTCCATTCTCTCAAAGCTTGTATCTCTATTCTCTATACCTCTGAATTAATAAAATACCCGGCAACTGAAGCCATTGAAGAGTGGACGTAGGTCGAATTGACCGAACCACTATAAATCGTGTCTTCTTTAATTTTTTCATTGATTTCACTACATTTATTACCTACACTTGACAGGTGGTGTGTAAAACCATTTTTGTGCATCATCATAATCAACCATTGACTATGTACAAACATCTCTTTCTCTCTCATCGCGGCACGCGCACACAAATTTAGCTTTGTAGATTGTGTCATTTGCTTCAAAATGCTCATAACTGGAACACCAGAGTCCTTTTGGGACCTTAAGTTGGTGTTGATCTCGTTGGGACTGACAAAACGGAAGGGAAATTTATTGGGGAAACTTGTGAGGGTGTTCAATTTCGTAACTCTTCTTGAGAACCCAGGATTCGGTGGAAGGAGCTAATGAATCTTTCCATTCTTGACCTTCTGTTGATTTACTTACTTTAAATTGGTTGTGGTTCATCACATATATTCAGTATGATGTATATGGAGGAGGATCCCCGTTAATGCAACTTACTTCCAGCTATGGGATATGGATGTATAGGCCTCAAGGTAGACCAACGTCCCCTACCCCTCTAGAAGCTTTATTGGCTTTTACCCCTTAAGAATTTCTGCAAGTTTGATGGTTCATGAATTCAAGAGCACATAACAGAGGGATTTATGCTGCATTAGACACAACTTTTTATCTAACCCATTTTTAGAGGCTTGATTTGAACCACTTGAGTTTGGAAACCCTAAATTTTTTTTTTTTTCTAAATGGTGTGTGAAAATTGTGAAATTTTATGGATTTCCATTTTTGCATTATACACAATTTCCATTTGCTTCGCCAACTTGTACTAATATATGTTATTTTTGTCTTTCTTAATCGTGGCCAGTGGAATTCCATGTGCAGAACTGGGTCCTTCAGTTTGTTCATGTTTTAGACGCTCTTTTTTTTCTTTGAAATGATTACTATCAGTCTCTCCTGAGCCTTATCTATTTTGAATGGAAATACTTATTTGTTATGCCGCCTTCTACATGGCTGAGGATTCAATGTGGAACTGCTGAAAAAGAATTGCTGTTGCATGTAATGTGGATTTTTGTGATAAAAATTTGTAAGATCGGAAATGAGATAGTCATTATTGCCATGACCTTTTTTGAACTAATGTTCTGATGCGAGTATCCTCATTCCTTCCTGTCTTTAATGATGTGAAACAATTATGTTGATAATTATACATATATCCTCTAAAGAGGGAATGATGTGAAAGTGATCAACTGAGTTTTGAATTTGATATGAATTGCTTAGTTTTGGAGAAGAGATGAATTGGCATTTCTGTGGAGATCCACTGGAATTCTCTCCTTCATAGTCTTCCTTGTTTGACTTTCCCATTTGAGTTAAAATCCAAGGCTCCGTATTAATTTTTTGCATGTTCAGGTGGTGGATCTTGTTAGAAAGGCAGTGCCCCTAGCTCTTTTGCCCGAAGATGACCCCAGTAGGGATGAACTGAAGCAGTTGCAGGAAAAGAAGGAAAAAATCGACATGCTGGCACATAAACAGGTTAGGCGCATCCTCTGGACTGGGCTTGGTTTGTCTGTCGTACAAGTGGGGCTCTTCTTTCGTTTAACATTTTGGGAATTCTCATGGGATGTTATGGAGCCAATTGCATTTTTCACCACAACAACTGGGATAGTAATAGGTTATGCTTACTTCCTCTTCACTTCAAGAGATCCCACTTACCAAGACCTGATGAAGAGGCTCTTTCTGTCAAGGCAAAGGAAGCTGATCAAGATGCAAAATTTTGATCAGGAGAGGTTTATGGAGTTGCAAAAGAAATGCAAATCACCTCTAGATGCCCCCGTCCCTACCAAACATGGGATAGGATTGGACCTTGAACCCATGGATCTTTTACATAGGCACTAACTATTTGCTTTTTGACATTTTCTTTGTGTTGTCAGGCACTAACTATTTCAAAGAGGCTAGCTATATATGTTTTTGAACCTCTTTACTGGCTTTCTGGGCCTAGTTTTGAATTGATAATCTTCTTTCCACAGGCTATATATGTTTATGAATATGCGATAGTGTTCGTTCCCTTTACCTTTCAAATCTGGCGTGTTATATCTGTTTTTATATCTGTATACTGGGTTTAGTTAATGTCTCGATCTTAATGTTGGGGTGTGATTAGTTTTAAGTGGCAGGATCTATATGAAGCATGATCATGAAAAGCTAGAAAAAAAGAGAGTTCTTACTAATGCAGCTAATAAATTTGGAAAATCAGAAGAAGATAGAATGATTCAACCAAAAATAACTGATTTTTGTGCTTGATCATCACCAGAACTCGGGGATCTGAGGAACCTCATTTGTGGGGACTGGTTCTTTGAGTTGAGGGAAGATCAGCATTGCCTCAGAGGTGGGAATACGATGAGTGGGGACTAATTTGTTAAACTCACTCAGCTGCTGATGGTCATATTCATGGCTGATCATTCCTGTATAGTCGGTTGGAGAACCTTGGAAAGAGATTAGTGAGGATAAGGCCCCCGACAGTTGGGCTCTAAGCGTCATTGCTTCTGCAAGAGCTATGTTCAAATCAGCTTGCAATTGGGACACCTGGGTTTGGAGAGAGGCGATGATCGCAACACAACCGTACACGGGGTCACTGAGCCGAGCCTTAGCTTCATAAACCATGCTGGTCACAGCATCTCCTCTTTCATCTATAGGAATCTCCTGCTGAAATAGAAGGCAACATTACCAGTCAAGCTAATTGATACTATTCATTGATGAGTAAGAAAGTCGATGAAGTGATAGTTAAGTTGATGAACTGAAATGAAATTGACACATAGTTACTTTTGACACAAATCCGACTATACACATGAACTCATTTATATATAACACTATATGAATATGATTATATACAGTTACAAAATACATAGTGTTATGTCAAGCTTGTGTCAAGTATAAATTGTATCATGGCAAAATCTAAAGTTGACACAATTACTTGCAATGTCTTGCTGATATTACTGGCGCCAAAAATCCGATGCACAGCTGCGAACTTGTCTGGTTCAGTGGGTGGAAAAAGGGGCAAAAAGATGCAATCCTTGGTGCATCGCCGGCGGAGAAGCTTGCAAGCAGCGCAGGGCATGGTGGTTTTGGTGAGTGATCCCATTGGATTATACACTTTTGGCTTCTCTCAGTTGCCATTCTTCAGTATTTAAGAAGCCAAATTAGCATATCCTGTAGTGAAACCAACCATCTAGATAATTAACTGGAAGAAATATGTTTAGGATATTTAAGCTGCACAGAGTGTTTAAATTCTAGCAATCAGATTGGCTAATTTTTTGTTTTTTTCCCTTGGCTGTCATTATCATGAGAAGTTCATTGAATCATATGGAAATTGCTAGAGCAAAGATGTTGTTCTAGCCCTTTGTGGAATATGATTATACACGGTCAAAAGGTTCATTGGGCAGGAGTATGTATCTATTTATCCCGTGATAAAATTTGTTTGTATTCGTATTGATTAACTAGTGCATATAGAACGTATGGAAGGGGATAATGTTAGAACATGCGTGGAGAGAGTCTGAGGGTGAAATGGCGAAAGAAAATATTATTTGGATATAATTTAGTGATTAATTCAATATAATTATTAGATTGAAAATATGTTTTATTTAATATTAAATTTAAAATTAATTTAATAATTATATTTAATTAAATTTCTGATTAGATCCTAAATTAGCTCCCGACGCAGAATATGATTACCCGCCGACAACATCTATGTGAAGTCAACTCAAATCTATGGCTTCTGTCTGCCTATTGGTTGAACATTGAGTCCCGATACAATCATCTGGCCATGAATTCAAGGGTGAGACTGAGGGGGTGCTGGTTGAGAATTGATTCCTGAACTAATTTCAATTTTCAGTTTAACCAAAAAAAAAAAAAAAATTAGTTTCAATTTTAATTTTTTTTTGTCATTAAATTATTACTTAGAATTGAATATGTTTTTGGGTGGATGATACTATATACCAAAAAAGATTCTCGAATTTAAAATTTGCACCATAAAAATTTGAAATTCTTGTATTACACGCTCAATCACATTAAAAGATATAATACTATAGTATGTAGTTCAAAAATAAATGTTTGTTGTTTTTTATACACAATTGTTTGTATAATACTCAATTTTAAGGATTTTCAACAAAAAATTCGTACTCATTTTTCTCAAAATAAAGCACTTGATTGAGGATGAAATATAAATTCTTTTTTTAATCTTTAATGATGTAAATTAAGAATACAAGGTTTTTTCAGTGTAGAGTGGCATTTGCCCCTATATTTTTAGACTAATGCTTTATGAATTTAAAAATTAGATTTAATAATCTCAACCATTGAATATATAGTGAATCCTAATAAATGTTAGAACCTACAGTGAAATCAATTATTGAGATTATCAAGTTTAATTTTTAAATTTAATTTTTAAGTCCATTTAACATTACTTATATTTTTAAGGTTGTTAATATTTCGATCTAAGTTTCCATACAATTCAATGAAGTAATTCCCATGTAGAAGACTATACAAGATGTCAAGCAGATGATATTGATGTCAACAACCTCCAAAAACGTTACCAAAAGCAACTTAAGTGTATACAAACTCATTTGAGATCAACCGGTAAAACGGATGTGTACACCACAAAAGTTGATATGTTTCACCCAAAATGCTGTATTTTTTTTGTTGGTCGAGAGTATTCGGGTTAATTTATGCACCACCTGACTAACTTAGATATTTATGAGAGATAAATTTTTCATGGTTCGATTCTAAAAAATTGTCAAAATTCGAAATCAAGATATCTGAGTTTATAATTTGTCTCTGTCATCACTTAAACTATTTTTTTCAGTTCCCAAAATGCAGTATAAACACCTCAAAAAATAAAAATAAGTGGTACGGTGCCAATTTTTTTTTTTGGGTGCCGTAATCAAACTCGAAAGGAAAGAAAGAAAAGATTTGTGGGGTTTCTGATGAGAATAAACAGATGTTTCGGGGCCCATATGTAATTATCCATCCAATCCCTATTCCTGCGACAGCGGTCATAGCAAGAAGAGACCCAAAACACAGCCAGAGGCAAAAATCAAATCACGCTTGCGAGCAGCGTAATGGCTTGTTCATGTTCATCGGCGACCAGTACCTGGAGTATGTCATCTCTGAGATCAGCTCTCCCTTCCGTCCACACACCTTCAAGCCCTTTGATCCGTCTGTCAGCTGGTTCAACCTTTCCCTCTTCTTCTTTGTCACGCCTGCGACTCTCTCGGCCCAAACCCAGTCCCAAACCTGTTCAGCCTTTCGTCGGTCTTGCGCCTCTACACCCCCTTCTCCCCTTCACTTCTCAAGGTACATTCTTATAAACACGCACTTACTTGCATTATCATCAAGCAATTTGGGTTGATGTTATTGTTCCAACGCTTAAACCCCCTTTTGTGTACTTGTTCTATTTGCAATTTTCCTGGTGATTTTTGTTGGGTCTTCTTTTATAATTTGAAAGATAACCAAGTTTCAAGGGTCTTGTGAGGTATTGACCGATTGGGTACAATTCGATGGACTCGGTGGGGGATTCAACGACATTGGGATTTGGGATTATACTACTATGCACAGGGGTTGGATGCAAAAGCTTTGGGTTTGGGGCCAATTTGGGGATTCGAGAACTATCAATATTTGTACTGGATTGGCACATCGAACTGGGTCCGGCTCCTCTGTTGCCGAGGTGGTGTTGATTAAAATAGCATCATTTGTTGTTCTATTTAATAAAATAGCGGACGAAAAGGATCCTCACCCCTCCGAACTTGGGCTACGTTAATAATTTGTGTTTTTCATTGTTAGCTTGGCAATTACGGTGCCTGAAACTTGTGCTATGGATATTCTTTATCTGCAATTAGTGTTAAAATTTTGTAAAAATGTTGTATGCACCTACCTGATCTGTGTTCTTTGTTGCTTCTTGCATATGCATTCAAAGAAATTGTTGTTAGAGATTACGGGTTGATTGGAAAAGTTGTAAAACTGTTTCAGTTGTGATGTAAATATGGATGGGAGTCTGAGAGAGCTGTGCATGTTAATCAGGAGAATAAGTGTTGTCATCTTTATTTTTGGATTGTTTTAGGATTGTAGAAGTATTTCAAGAATAGCTCCACAATTATTATAATTCTGGAGTGTTTGAACTTCATATAACACTTACAGCTTTGAAGGGGGTTGGCAACTCAGTCCAATGGATGAAGTGTAGTTTGTGGCTTTAGAAGGGCCATTATGTTGGCTGATCTTCTTATAGCTTAAAAAATTGATGGAGCAAGCTGCGATTGTTTCAAGGATCTTCTTCTCTGAATTGGTTATCTGTGGGTTCTTTCCACAGCTTTGTTTTTGTTACTTCTTACATTCATAGGGGTTCTAATTGGGGAATTTAATAAAATGGAGTTTACACAGAATGCACGGGGTTCAAAGGACAGTACTGGGGCTATTTTGGCATGTTATAATCAGGGGAAAATTGATTGGAGTTCTTGAAATTCACAGGAATGATTCTAACTTCAGGATATTACAAGTGGTACGTGTATATCTGAAAACTTCTCAGCTGTAGAGACTAGCTAAACTTTTCAACATCTTATATATACATTGTTGCAGATCTCAGCAGTTACGAGTTTTGTCACCATCATTGACAATGGGAGCCGATTCTTTGCCATGAGACATGGGAAGTGGGTACCTAAACTCAATCGTCCCCCTGATCAGCGTCGTGCCCTATTGCGGGGCCTCACAACTCAGCTATTAAAGTATGGGCGCGTCAAGACTACAAGAGCACGAGCTAGTGCCACGAGGAAGTATGTGGATAAAATGATTACATTGGCTAAAGAAGGATCTCTTCATAAAAGAAGGCAGGCCCTTGGCTTCATTTATGAAAAGCAGATTGTTCATGCATTGTTTGCAGAGGTACCAGAGAGAAATGGGGAAAGGAATGGAGGATATACAAGAATCATCAGAACCCTGCCAAGGCGTGGGGACAATGCACCTATGGCCTATATTGAACTTGTTTAGCAAATGACTCTTCATTTTGCTTGTTTCTTTTGTACTTCTTCATTGAGAATCAAATTGTAGTGAAATTCTACCCTTATCCAATTTCGGATACTACCTATGCCAGTTAATCTATCTTTGTATCTAATCTTTCTTAACCAACATTTTTTTGATCCATATAGAATGTTTATGGGTAATGCGTGGACAAGTTATATCAATAGAAAGTAATATGAAAACTTGGGAATTAAGGGGTAGATTATCCAACTACTAATTGAAGACCCTTGTTAGTGCTATACAAATAGAAATTCTAGACACCAGTTTTGTTAGAGACCATGGAACCACTATCTATATAATAAAATAGTTAGGTGTTTGAATTTTTATCTGATACATATATTTTTTTTTTAAATTATCACATATCTTATTTTTATCACATATTAATCATTTAATATTTAATTAATTTGTAATTTAAAATATTTTTTTTTCAGACATTATCCATATACGATAATATATACATGTTGAGAAAATTTGTTAAATTATATATTTTTGTCTATATTTTTAAACAAATAATAAGTAAAAGTAAATTTTAAATGATGTAATTAAAAAAATAAAAATTATTTCTTTCTAAAGTCAGGAATATAGAGTTGGATAAGTAGCTACATAAATGTACGTCACCCCCCTTAATGCCCCTCGAAAAGGTTCTTACTATGAGACAACTTGATTTAGTTATATTTTAAGTGACTATTGAAACATATGGGGACTTTGAGGGAAAGACTCGAAAGCCACCATTGACTATATCTTTCTGTATGTGGATACTTTGCGTGGTTTCTCAAATGCACGCAGGTGGGTAGTTTCCATCCAAACCATGCCAAATGTGGGTTGTTGGGCAAATTACAAGAATTAGATAATTGAGGGTATAACATGAGAAAATCAATAGCAAAAGGGGAAAGTGAGACTAGAGTAACAATTTTGGGGTACTAGACATAATTTATCCATTTCTTACTTGGGACATTTCGATAAGGAGGAGAGAGAGGGAGAGGATAAGGTAATTTGTTCTTTCTTCTGATTCTATTGCTGCCACTTCGAGCTATCCTCTTCTTTTGCTGTTCCTTCTGCTGCATATACCATAACCATACTTTATTTCATGTGGATTTAGCAGTAGAAAAGCCAGACTCCGACCGGCAAAACAGTAGGATTTGAAGAAAGAGAAAGACATACAGGGCGGCTAAGAGTGGCAGTTGCAGCAATGTTTGCTTCGGCAACAACTCTGAATCTGGGCTCATTGACTGTCCCCAACCAAAATTACAAACCTTTTGCACTCAATGGGACACAATCACTACCACTGTTGGCATCGCCAAAGCATCTGCCCAAACTAAACACCACCACCACCACTATCACTAGCGGCAGTTGGAGAACAACCACCTCTGTGAAAACAGCTGTTGCTGCCGTCGACTCATCTGAACCCGCGGAAAAGGTTGGTTAGTTCATTCCCTTCTCATCTCTTTTCTACCACTGCCACTTGTAAAATTAACAGTTCTGTTATTCTATAGATTTCCGTTGGGAAAAACATGAATCGAACACTATAATTTACAACGCTTTGGGGGGACTCTGTGAAGATGTTGATACTATCTCACAATTTAACGTCTGGGTATTGTGAAGCGATACCCAATTAACTGTTAGCATTCTGAATTTGTGCTCCCCAAATCCATACCTCCAGAAATTTTCATGATCAATTGCTCTGTATAATTTAGGAGCAATTGATACATGTAATGTCATATCCAAATCCATAACTTATTTAAGGTGTCAAAGTCATGTCCAAAGTGCAATAACATAATCCAGATCTTCTTTCACGTACCCTCATGCATTCTCTTTCGGAAATGTGAAGAGTATATAATGGTGATCTGGGCTGGGACAGTGGTGGGATCAAATGTTGTTGAACCTCATACTTTTCAGCATTGGGTGCATAGTCCATGTTGATTGAGAGTCCTACCCGAATGGCTAAAACTCAGACCATAATTTCCAACTATATTAGAAACTAACTACTTGCTTGAAATATATGACTCGTCTTTGTTCGCCATCAACCTCCGTTTTGAGTGAAACTATTTTATTTCTTTTCTTATCTTACCATACAGCAGCAAATCGACAGCAAGAAATATTATTTTCTTGTCGCCAATGCAAAATTCATGTTGGATGAAGAGGAGCATTTCAATGAGCTCCTGTATGAGAGGCTTCGCAACTTTGGAGAGCGGAGCAAAGAGCAGGATTTCTGGCTTGTAATTGAACCCAAGTTCTTGGATAAATTTCCTAACATTTCCAAGAGACTGAAGAGACCTGCTGTTGCTCTGGTTTCAACTAATGGCACCTGGATCACGTAAGGACACCTATTGAAGGTTACAGCTTTTTATTAGATACAAGAATTGATCTAAAATTTTGCTTCTATTTAAGTTAAAGAGTACTACAGAAGATATATACCAAACTTTTGCAGTCATTAGGGCAAAGGGGCTGTTACCTTTCCTTGCCTTTGGAGGAATAGCCCCCTTTCCCTACCCTTTTAAGTCTAGCTTTTAAGTCTATCTAGCATTACTCCCCTTTGGAGCAATAGGGCCTTTCCTCACAATCTTATAATATTAACTCCATTTAAGCAGAGATAATCTGGATGAGGAAGTGTTGTTTAATTGTTAACAAGTAATGTGTGTACAAATTGGAAACATTATCCCCCCTTGTCGATTATCAAATCACCATGCGTGAGTGTTTCCCTGGGCAGGTTCATGAAGTTAAGACTCGACCGAGTTTTGCAAGAATGCTATGAAGCTGACAGTCTAGATGAAGCATTGGCGTCTAATCCTGTGAATCTCGAGTTTCAGAAGCCAGAAAATTGGGTGGCACCATACCCAAAATATGAATTTGGGTGGTGGGAGCCCTTCTTGCCCCCTGGATCTAAGACGTCTGAAGTATAAATTTAGACCTTTTAAGCCTTGTTTGAGATTCCAGCAGTACCTACAACTTGAAGTTGGTGAAGCTCTGCATAATTGTTGAGTTAATGAAGACATTTGATGTTCCATATCAAAGGTTACTGGATTTTGTAGTATGCTATCTAGAAGCACAGTTATAGGACTGCAGACTACTGCAGAGGAAGGAATGTATGACTTCACCGAAGAAGATTGAAAATTGTTGTGTGTAAACGATCCCAATTAGTTCTAACTTCAAGACCTTGCTGAGTTGCATCTATTAAGTTTTTTTTTTCCAGAAAGTAATGTTGCATTTATTAAGTTTGAGGAAATGAATGTATGAAAACCCTAGTCTGAACATCCCACCTTTGGGCTGGCCTGGACTGGAAGCTAAAGTAAAATGGCTGGTGGTGTATGACATCTTTCTAATTCCATTTCATACCCGGAAATTAGACAGCCATCTTCTCCAATCTCAAAAAAAAAAACAGCAATTCCAAGTTGATTTGTGTTGTTGCTTTCTCTGACCTTTTGAATTACAAGAAGATAGGTTTGGCTTCATTCCTTCCTAGGGCAGCATACTGAAGCAGAAGAATTGCTGCATCTTATGTAACTAATGTACACCTGCATTTTACAATTCTGGTCCATTTTACCTTCCCAGGTGCATCACATCAAGAACCAACCAAAAGAAAAACATATTGTGCCATCTTACACAAGTAATATAAAATTGATTTCTGGCAATGTAGACACTCTTGATTGTTGACTGAAAAAACAGAGAGGAAAAATCGAGGTTTGATGAAACTTTTAAAGAGAAGGAAGCAACAAGTTTAAAGAATCATTACGGTCATCTGAACAGAGAAACAGTGAACTAAATTAGAATATAACTGGTACTAAACATAGAAAGAGTAGTGGAGACTGGACAACACCCATGAAGAGGGGTCAGTGGACCTGCCTTGCGCCACTGTTTGCTGATAATTCATCATTAATGCTGCTTATTAATCTTCAGGAAAGGAACTTTTGGCAGTTTCTGAAAAACCTTCTCATCTACCACTGTGTATTGTTTCTTAATTTCAACTGTTGCCTTCTCAGCATAAGCATCCACTTGATCTTCATGCATTTCATACAATAAGGGTACTGACAGTACCATCACAAAAACTTCCAACGGACGACAAAAGCACTATCAATACTTGTATTATGAAAATCTCTACGCAGATGACTTTCAGAGTGAGGCTAACACTTATAAAAATGATAATAAGCAAACATATTATTATAGGTGCTATCGATTGAAGTTAAGAGAGAAGAGAGAGCAAAAACTCACTGATGTATGTAAGTGTCAAAAAATGGAACCAGCTGCCAACAACAGAAAGAACCCACAAGCCCACAATTGCCTGCATGTCAAACAGTTTGAAGATGAATACAGAATTGCCTAATGCATTCCATGCAAACAAGAAAGAGCTAAGGGTGGTTCAGAGATGTACATAGAGAAATTTCTTGATATCATTTCCGGAAGCCACTTCACGAAAGATAACAAATGCCTGGTTAATTCGGTCCCTCAGTAACAGAGCAATACTCATGAACAGGTCCTCAGGTAATACAACCTCAGGAAAGTGCAGAGGAGCCCTGATGCAGAAAGGGAGAATAAATATATACTGCAAGGCAAATCTCAAAAAGTCTCTTTCACATCAAACTAACATACAAGGCCTGCATAATAGGGAATTCAGCCATTGACAATGATTTTGATGTCAGCACATTTATTTGTTTATCTGTTTATTTTTTGGGGATCCTGTCAAATTATAATGGAAATGGCAGGAGAAGAAACCCGCAGCTAAATACATTTATCGTGACCAAGAAAATTCAAGAATATTATACCTTCTTGCTCATGAATACGACCAAACACATGAAAGAAATTATTGATATGTTAGGTTCATTGAATTGAGGAGCGGAAATATAATCCTTATATGAAGTCCATCGCAATCTATATTGAAGCCAGCTAACAATGAGGTGAAACCTTGGTGATCAAAAACAGGGCCTACCGATTCCACAATAGAGCTTACAGACAGAGAACTATACAAAGATCAGGTACATTAAGATTTCAGAGAGCAAAGGAAAAATGAGGCAGCAAGAACCAAAATTAGAGAAGCAAAAAGCAAAAAAAAACTCACTTGTGGAGAAAAGAAGATAGATTGGACCACAGGAACAGCACTGCCAACGAAAGTATTAGAGAGTGGCAAACAAAAGTAAGCACATGATAACCAATCCACTCAAAGAGTAGCCATATGACAGTTGAACCAGCAAGCAAGCCTGCTGAGATCTGCTTGTTCCGCCAAAGTATAATGTCAGCATCTGAACAACAACAGAAACCAATAGTTATCAAGATCTTCATCTTTTTGAGAATACACTTTCCACAATTAATGACCTTTCTACCAACATTGGTTGACGCATGAATATAGTGTCCATTTTAAAAAAAAGGGAGGGGAGGTGGGGGATAAAACTGTGTATTTCTGATCGTCTATAGATCTCTTCCACTCCTTGTGTGGTCATCACTTCACATTAACTATTTTTCTACTCTTCCCAAGCAAGTCGATTTGGGTGGATGACTAGGTAAGTTTGGGCCTTTAAGGAATCTAATCCCCTTTCTTTTTTCACAACAGGGCAAAAACATGCATGGTAGCTCCATAATTCATGTGTTCAAACTAGCCATATGGTTTCTTTTCTTACTATTCATATCAATACAAAGTTGCAAACCATTTACAGGGCTAAAAGTAATCATAGCAATTCAAGATCAGCATATCACATAAAACAAGCAATGAAGGAAGATACTTGTAAACATATATAGGCAGAAAAGAAAGCCAGAAAGTATATATATACATACATTTGCCACCGCCAAAGGCGGTATGAACCGGTTTCTCTCGGCCAAAAAGGCGAAACTTCTCCCCAGAAAATTTATCATCTTCACTATCTGAGGAAGAAGAAGAAGAAGAAGAGTTATGGTGGTAAGAATGAACCGCCTCTTGAATCTTCTCCTCAAAAGATTCAGACCCAACACCCACTGCATCCGACATCGCACCACCACCATCATCACCCACTGGATCCGACATCTTTTCTTTTCCTACAATGACCAAAAAAAGACATCACAGACGAGAAGGTTCAAAGAAAACTTGAAAACATCCATGAAAAACGATTCAAAAGTTGCAGACACGACCACATTTTAAAACATTTGTTGTTGTATATAAATTTGTTGGTAATGTGTATATGATTGGATGGTGATAGGAAATATTCAAAGTGTTCTCACCGTGTTATCAAGCAATGTGCCCAATGAGTCTTTCCGATTGATGGGTTTGATAGTTTCTTGCGTTCTTTTAATGTTCTGCCTTCTCTCTCTCTCTCTCTCTCAATATCTCTGGGGATTCATATCTGCGAGACTGTAACTGAATAGTTCAAAGACTCTAACGAAAGAAATGCAAAATAGCTCCTCAAATTCCGCACGTAAGGCCATGTATATGCCCAAAGTCTCGGAAATCCTACCACCTGGTTAGGAGTGTTCACTTTCGTTATTTTATTCCATACGTTGCGATTTTTTTGTTTTACTTATCTTCTTACCCGATCAGTGTGGCATTCTTTTTTTATTTTCGGTCAAATTAATTGATAGGAAGGCGGGTGAAAAATTGGATACAAATTTTTGTAGGTATTAATTTTTAAATTATTTTAACAATTCAATTAAATAATATGTATAAATTTAATAAAATAATAAACTAATAACATTAAAATTTAAAATAATTACAAAAACAATTATAATAAAACACAAAAAAATATAAACATCAATTTATCATAATTGTTACACAAATACAACAACAATTATTTTAAATTTAAACCAAATAGTTAGATAATTAGTGTTTTTAGTTCATATATATATATATATATATATATATATATATATATATATATATATATATATATAATTAATGCGAGTAGAGTAGGATAGGGTAGAAATTTGAAAATTAATGATTATTTCACATTCTTACCCAATTTAATTGGAAGATCAAAAATTCTTCTATATTTTTACCTGATATTTTTGATTAGTCGTTCAATAGGGTTGAGTAGGATAAGAAATTACGGTTTATCGGAAATTTAAACACCCTTACACCCGGTAGTTAGACGATATTTGGTGGTGGGAATTTTTTTTTCTCCTGTTTATGGGAACACTGGATTCTAATTTGGGTAGTCCGCCTCGGGATTATAATTCGTTTTTTTTATTATTTATTTTTTTATTTTATCACTTGAGAAGTTAAATAAATATTTATATAAATTTTTTGAGTGATAAAAAATAATCTTATTGAATAATTTTTGAAAATAAAGAGCTGATGATTGGTTACTAATGACACATGTCAGAGTGTAATTGGAGGGAACCTTGAGTTTTGAATTAAAAAATTCTAAATTTTAAGAAATTAAAAATGAGGGAAGATTTCTTAAACCGTCTAACCTCTTATTTAATTATTTTTTATATACAGATAGACGGATTTTTCATACGACTGATATTTTTTCTCTACTGTTCTTTTTTGATATTATTTTTTTTTACATCTTTAAAATAACTATTACTTTGTATCTTCGTTTCCCATATAATTGCACTAGCAATAATTCAATCTCTAAAGATACTATATAATATCAAAATTGAACTAATCTTCTAATATTTATATTTTAAATAATAATTTTATTTTAATTTTTTTAATTACGTAATTTAAAATTAAAATGAATATAGAGGTAAGTGTGAATTGATGAGATTGTTTGACATTTTAGATTGTCTGGTATTGGGGTTGTGTAGAGAAGTTGATAGATTTTGAGTGGGAAAATTTTTTTTGAGAGTAATTTTGTATCAGTTGATCAATATAGATGAATATTAGATCAATTTTGACCGTTGTTGTATTTTTATAAGTTAAACATTCAATTTCCTAACTATAATACTAAATAGATTTATGTTTGTATTAAAATGTTATTCATAAACTAAAACACTCATGGTCACTTTTGTAATAATATTATTTTTAAAAAAACTTTTGTTTTTTGATACAATTATTTAAGGATAAAAAAAAAATAGGAAATTAATTGTTGTTCCCACTTCTCACTGAAGTCCTCTATGAGGACCTGTAACAAGTCGTCTTCCTTTGTGGCCTTCGATTTGTGATCATTAATCAACTTCACAACAGCACCTGAGATCTCTACCTAGCTTTCATGCCTCCCTGTTACTCTTGATGGGCAAATACCAATACCAATTAGAAAAAGAGGAACGATGGTGGGAGGACCATTGTTGAAACTTCTTTCGAAGCCTTTCAGGTTTGATCCAGAAGAGATTGTACAACTGGTCAAGCCCACCAACAACAATGGTATTAGCACATTTCTAATGGAATTCACCGTCACCATCACCATCACCATCATCGTTCTTGCTGCTACTTCTTCCATACTTCTGCCTCCTATAAATAATGTGGATGAACTTTTTATATTTTTTTTTTATGGAATAGTCTACGGTACCCAAAAAATTTTGGTGCAGTAACAAAAGTTATGATATTTAATTCTAAGGTTATACCTTTAAAAGGTAAAATTACAACTGATTCAGAGAAATTCATGATTGATCGTTAGACTTCCTTAACCAATTATAACTTACTTTCTTACTGGTTGTAACTTGACTTTTAAAAATTGTAATTTAACTTTTGAATATTGTAACTTCAATGGTTGATCATAACACTTTAGAATCAATCATGTAAAATAGTTGACTCGAATCATATAAAGTAGTTTGGGATCAACTTGACTCGAATTGAGTTGTCCAAAGCACGATAATAAAAGTAGTTGTAGATAGGCAATTGTTGTTACAAAACATGGAAGGAGATAAAGTCGTAGAAGTTAGGCAAAGACATGCTAGGTCAAGCAAGATTCTGATGGGTGTAGTTTAGGAAAAAATAACTGTGATAAGAGGGAAGGCAAACAACCAAGCCAGCAGCTGATTACCCACTTAATCGGTTAGGCAAATTCCTTCAATAACCATTAGTTTAACAACAAGATCTAATATTTTATGGATCCACAGTTAATCAAAAAATTATAATGAATTAAGTCAATAAATTAGATCAAATAAATAAAAAAATTATATCAATAAATTAAATTCAAATAACATTATTCATAAATAATTAATACAGATGATGAAGTATGCAAATACTATACCATATTGCATTTGCCATTTCTTGAAAAACGGAAAAAGAGCATTTGCACAGTTTTGGGTCTCCGGAGGTCCGCATGTCGTCGGAGGCTTGGCATTGGCGGTTCTGGATCTCTTGATCTCGAAGATGTTGCCGAGTAAAACAGACGGCGGCGGCCCGGAATCCCTTGTTTCCTCAGCGACGACCGAAGCCTCTTGGGCTCCACCACAGCACATTATACAGACGTATGAACAAACCTAGTATTACGACAAAAGCTACTACGGACACAAACATATTCATTAGGCTCATGATATTGAGTTGCTTTCTTTCTTCTTCAGCCTTCACCAGCCTTTACGCATAAATTTACCATAGATGGCATCGTATATGCTGAATTGGGGTGCACCATAATTTTACATTTTATCAAAATAAAATATTATTTGAACCTAAAATATTGATCAAATTAGTTGATCTAATCAATTATAATAATTGTATTAGTAAAAAATCTTAATAAATATTAATACTCACAAATTTTTTTTGGTCATTATTGTCGAGCTTTAACATAAGAGGGGTGATCAGATTCAAGCCTGCAACTTAATGGTCCAATAACTGGCTACACTAACTATTAGACTAACCATTGATTTTAAGACCTACAATTTAATCAATGACAGTTAGTGATTACTGATTAGGTTAATAAATTTGATCGACATTTTAGGTCCAATTAACAATGCTAAAAAAAAAACTAAAATATCATTCAAATGATGTTGTATCTGATATGATAAGTAAATACGCACTATTAAATGAATAAAAATAGAACCAAAAGTATTAGTAGTATAATGTTATATCATTTAGCCCTTATTTTTTATTTCAATTTTTACTCGGTCTACCGTTACTCCAATTTCAAAAAAAAAAACCGTTACTCCTATTTGATTGGTAATCACATATTGACCAAGTAATGGCACCATAGATAAGAACAAAAATGATGTGTGCTTTAGTAGTAATACTTAAATTTAAAGTTTAAATGATATGACAGCTGACTTGAATTTCTTTATTTGACACCATGTCATTTGAGCTCTAATAAAGATTCTAAATAATATGTAATCATTTTATTTGGACTTTAAATTTAATCTCAAAATTTGATCAAAATAGCATTACTCGTGCTTTAGTGCTTCACAAGCATCAATCAAACGACAAAAAAATAAAGCATCACTCGGCAGGGGCTGTACCAGACATTTTGGGGCCTAAATCAACAAAACATAAATGAGGATTTTATTTTTATTTTTAATATTAATAATAAATTTATTTAATTTTTTTTTAAATGTAAAAATATGAATCAAGTTTTTATATTTAAACTATTATTCTCGTAGCTGAACATGATGATGAGAGAGAGGGGGGAGAGAATGATTAAAAAATTATGGTAGTAATTTCAAATTTGACTTTTTGGGGGAATTAATAAATCCAATCCACTCAAGTTAAAATCTTTTATTTGGGCTTAAATATAAGTTTTTTGTGGGACTTATTTTCTTATGGATTCAAATTATTTATTTAAATTATTACTACATATCTAAAAATTACGAGGCCTTCCTAAAAGTATAGTCTAAAGCCCCAGCTTTAGTGGCTTAGTGATTGAGCCGGTCAAGACTAGTCAGGATGGCATACGTATCAACAATGTTATGTTGACTAAAATTTTTTACCAAATTTTTCATTCCAAGTAACGTGACACAATTTTTACCATCAAATAAGTAAGTCACATTAATATTCAATGATAAAAATTGTGTTACGTTACTAGAAATGAAAATCTTGGTAAGGATATAATTATTGCATCTGTATATGCTGAATTGGATCGCTGATCTTTTTTTTTTTTAATTAAAAAATTATGCCATATGGGAAGGACATAATTTAAAGTGAGGTCCACCATCTACTATTTGACTAGTAATACTTCATTTTATATAATTAAAAAATATATATATATATGTATATATATTATTAGGATGTAAAATAATGATATGATTCGTAAAATTATTATTGAGTAAAATTAAATAAAAATATAATAGAAAGAATAATTCTTAATGTGATTCTTCACGTAATCATAATGGAAGCAATAATTATGGCTTCGGGTATCTCCTATATTTCCATTGTAAGAGGAGATACTAATAATAGGACTCGATTATGGTCCAGTCAAAAAAATTTTAATATTATATTTTTAAAATTTATTATTGTAAAGGATATTTTTATAATTTTTATGGGTCATTTTATAATTAAAAAATTTATTATTTTTGTGGTTGATGGATAAATATTTTTATTACATTTTTGGTTAACTATTTTTTTTTATCACTTTTCATAAATACTGATTTATAATATTTGTAAGTGCATTTATCATTATTGTGGTAACTATTTTTACTATTATTTTAGATACCAAAATAATAATAAAACTACCCACAAATATGATAAAAATTATTACAAATGTAAAATATTTTGGTATAATACCAAAATTCAAAATTTCGATACCATAATGAAGTCTGTAATAGTAACGCCCTTGCCAACTTGTCACCCAAACGGCAAAACAAATGCATAGGGCGAAGACATAAAAGGTTATGCCCGAACAATATATATTTGAGAATCATAAGTCTGATGGATCTCACTCAAGAATAGACACTTGAAAGACCATCGATCAAAGAAAAGAAAGAGTCTTTTTCTTCCGAAACTTTCCTCTCCGGCAGCAGCTCTTTTAGCATGTACAATAAAACAGCATATAAAATTTTTACAAGTGTATAAGACTCGTGTAATAGGTTATACTCTACAATTATAAAAAATGCAATCAATTTAAAGGCTGAGGGTCAATTTATGCAACTGAAAATAATTATGAGAGAATTTATCTGTTCCTGATGTAGTATATTAGGGTCAAATTTTTTTTGAACTTAACCTCTTGGTAATAGAGATTGAGTGTAAATTCAGATATCTTGCATTAGAATCTTGACAATCTCTTCAGATTAGGATATGAGAGATTTATCACTTATGAATATTTTAATATTGGCATGGATGACCTGTCTTTGACTGAAATAGAGAGAGAATTAATCGAAGTATACGTAAATTGATTTAAATACTCTTGATTATTAAAAAAAAAAAAAAAATTTATGAATTTCATCCCTCGAGTTGTTTTTCTGAAAATTGAAGTCAAGCCCATACCCGACCCATGTTTTGCCCTTTTTGATAATAAAATTTCTAGGGATATTTGTGGGCCGGTAGGCCCGATACACTTTTAATAATTTATTTGTCAAAAAGTCTAATCGCCAAATTTTTTAGTAAGAGTACATTTCGGATTAAAATAATTCTAATTTCCTTAATTATCTATTTAGTGAATTAGATAAACCAAATTAAAAAACAAGATCAATTCATTAATTAAGTTGTTATCTCAACGAAATTTCATTCAAACTCCTTCAAACATGGAATGCTTATACAAGATTCAAGAAGAAAACTTTAAAATTAATGCAATCCTTCCATCATAAAAATGTGCAACCGAAATTCTTTCCATGAAAAAAGGCAATTATTTTCTTATATTAAAATGTTATGATTTTTCTAAAAAGTTCTTACTTATTAACTCCCAAGTAACTAAAAAATGCAAAAACCTCTTGAATTTGGGTTTGTAAACAAAAGAATGACATAATTATGAAATAACGTGACATTAAAAAAAGACATGAAATAATGAATTAACACATTAAAGTGTGACATAATTAAAAAATAATGTTACATTTTAAAACAAAAATAGTGTAACATCAAAGAGTGATATAATTTTAAAAATAGTCCGTCATAATTAAAAAATAGTATGACATCAAATAGTGAATTCACACATGCAAAAAGTGAATATACTCACGATGACAAAGCACTAATATGCCGTTGGTGACTTTCGAACCCATTTCTCTTGTTCTTTCTCTCTCTCTCTCAAAACGGAAGAAAAATTGCAGAAGATCCTTTGGGTGAAGATATGGATTCCTCCTCTGTTTCCAAGGAATTTATTAGGAGTAGTATACATAATTACAAAAAGTGCCTCTTAATTTTACTGAAACGATGATCTAGCCCCGTTGTCTGTCGTATGAAGTTTGAACCTTTCATAGGGAATTCTATCAAAATTAATAGAATCATTTCAAAATTTAAACAGTTAATTATCTATTAATTTAAGAAATCACTCCGCCAATAGAAAAGAATAAAAAATGGGTAATTATTACATAAAATTAAAAAAAAGGTTTATGTACTACTAAAATATATACCTGGGCACCAAATATTTGGAAAAAGGTAAATTTAATGACTAAAATGCCTGGGCTAACTCGAATTATGTGTAAGCAAGTTGTGCTAATTAATTAATTTTAACTTGTTAATGTCGTATCGAGGTGATACCATTGCATAGATTTTGTAAGGAAAATTTAGAGGCCGGTCCTCTTATATGGACTTAAGTCCGTCAAAAAAATTTATTTGTTGAATTCCATTTTTTATTAATTTTACCAAACTATCCGTTCTCTTTAGAAGTGAAATAAAATAAAAAATTAAAAACTCTTAAATTTTAAGAATTTGACTAACATTAAAAAAATTTATCTCTCATATCTATCTATATACATACATATATAGGTTATGACTATATCTATCTCATATCTATATAATAAAATAGAACGATTTTAAATTTTGGAGACAAAAAGTGGCTCAGATCGTTTCGTAGTTAAAAAAGATATCATCTTACAAACGACGTTATCTTAAATTGTCTCAAGCTATTAACGTCTCAGATCATTTCAAAAAATTTAATCTAAGGGATCAAAGCGGCTCACAAATATTTTATTCTACACATAAAATTCCATTTTTTGAATATCCACAATCAAAGAATATAATTGTCTATTAATTATACACTAAATCAACACTTAAAACTTTCCATGATTATTAACTAACCATATCTCATTCTCTTTCTCTCCTCTATAGGCGATGTCTTCCCATACCAGACGCAGATATCCCCTAATTCAGGCCCTAATATCTTCTCCCCAAATCAACCTCTCTCTCCCTCCATGGTATGTAAACAACTACTCTCTCCCTACTTATTATCTCTAAGCCCTATGCATCCCACTGCTGTCTCTCTCCCTCCCTATTCTCTCTCTTCACTCCTCCACCAGGTATGTCTTCCATCTCCCCATCTCTTTCTGCTACTATCACACACACGACACACATGACCTCTTTCTGCTACTACCACACACACGACCACGCACATGATCATGCACACAAATGCATTGCCTTCTATTTATCTAGATTTTCTTATGGATTTTGTGTCTTTCCAAGTGTTTGTAGAATTGCTTAAATGAAAAAAAATTATTTTTTTTTAGGAGGAAGGAATTTGTTACGGTTGGGTGTGTCCAAGGGAATCAAACAGGTTGACGCAAGAGGTTGGACTTCTCAAGTGCACACACATTTCAATTACTTAATTTCATTTACTCATTTTCCAATTTTTTTTTTTTTTTTGTGATTTGTTTTTTCCCCAAAATTTTGTGCATTTTTTGTTTGAAATCTTTTATGATTGGAGGATTTTAATGTTAAAGCATCATAGATGATTATAGGATTAATTTGTCTTTTTCCACATAGTTTAGCGAGGTATAGCATCATTTTCATGAATATATTGCAGTGAAGCTATTTTCATAGGAATATGAAAATATAAATTAACTCCCACTATTTTTCAAGGCTTTGAAGCTATTTTCAAATTCAATAAGTCTCTTGAATGTGGTCAACTCTTTCAATCGATGTTATTGATCTATTTACAATTGCACAACCCCTGTTATTGACGTATATATCATACTCTCTAGGTTGACGCAGAATGAATTCTTTTTAGAGTGTAAGTCCATCATTGGTATTGAATCTTGAATTCCAAAGACTCTATGGGTTGGTTCCATTGTCTTTGATCAGGACGTTATCTATTTTTTGCTTTTGCTATCCTTTCTATTGTATTTTAATGTGTAATGAATTCTATTTAGTTGTGTTTTCATTGGGTATGTACCATAGTTTTAAATTTCATTTCGTTTTGTTATTTCTTCCACCCAAAACAAAAAAGTAGCAATTGTTTGGCATCTCGGGTTATGAGATATTAAAAAATATATATAGATTAAAAAACACTTTAAATCTAAGCATTAGTTAATCTACTTCACCTTTGTGCAGTAAAAAGGCCAGTGCAGTAAAGACAGTTCATGGGGATGTGATTGAGGTCCAATTTTGAAGTTGATATGGGAAGGTCTTCCGGTTGCTTCTCACCAAATTTTTATTCCAAATTCTCAATAGTTGACAGTGGTATGAGTTTCCGAGTTTCTAAGTATTTAATTGTGCACCAATGCACCATGTCGTATCACGATTTGGGATGATTTAACTGGAATTAATAAAGACATGCTTTAGCTGGGCTCAGAATTTTGGGGAATAATGAAATGAGTTTTCTTTTGGTTAGTATTCTATTTTTTTTTCTTTATGTGGTGTTGTTGGTTGTTTTTTGGGTTTACTGCATTGGCTTACAATGTTGATTCTAGGTATATTTTTATTTCAAAATAGTTTCTTTTTTGAACTAATTTCAGTATAGTTGTTTTTTTGTCAATTTCCTATTATATAGATTATGCCAATTCCCCATCTCCACTCCTTATTTTGTTTTCTTTCATACAGGTGTCTCCTACTCAAAGAGGAGGCTTTGGGTAAAGCTCTCAATTGCTCTGTTTTATAATAAACATGTCTGTTATTCCAAGTTCCACCAACATGATAATATTTTTTGCTATGTAAATCTTTTTAAAATCTTCAATTTTTGTACACTTTTTTGTTCAATATCTATTTGATTTTCAATCAAGGAAAATATTAAATACATAGGTGTTGATATTGATTTCTATCAAATTTTAGTGTGAATGGTTGAAACATCAAATGGATTTCTGTCCCATTTAGTTTGAGTTTTGAATGATGAAGAAATTGTGTATATATACACAAACAAAATTGAATAATCAGTTGTTTCCCATTGATTTTAGTGTTTAGCTGCTAATTACTGGTACTTAACATTTCTTTAGATAAGTATAACTTATTGAGTAAACTGGTAATAACTAATAAAGAGAAAAGGAGAATTCTGTAAGAAAAAAATAGTAGGGAACATGGATTAGTTAATATAAGTGAATGCAAATGTTATTGAATGGAGCTTTGAGGTTTTGGAGATTCTTAGTGAAGAGATGGAAATCATCAAGTGTCCATTATGTGTTGTCCGTAAGTTGTTCGTTGCATTCATCCTTGAAAATTATGTGTCAGTCCTAAAGAATTATTCTGAATTATTGAATGTATCTCTTCCCCCCCTTACTCCCTCGAACTTCATAGTGTTAATTGAAGAACTCGATTATCTTTATCATGCTTATATTTTTTATTTGTTGTATTGATTTGAAAGTCAACTTATGTTTTAAGAAACACATTTTTGAAGGTTAATGACTTTAAATTTTCTTATCTTATTTCCCCATGCAGAACTCTTTGGTGGCTTTTCAGATCAAATTTGCGTCCAGGCAGAACAGTGTATACAATAGCCAAGTGGCTTAAATCTAGAAGACACCAACTTTCCTTTGGGAGTATCTGTTTGAGTGAGTGACTTGCCGCATATGTAAAACTACTTTTTTTGTATGGATAATGGATCTCAACTATCGGGGATAATGATAAGGTGAATAATTGTTTGTTATCTAAGGTTTTTTTAACTGTGGTTCTTCTCAAAATGAATATCGTTTAGTTGTAAAATGATTTTCCAAGTCAGTAACTTTGTAGTTGGTGCTATATGGGTTTTTTCTAATTGCTATAGGAGTTGTGTGCTACCTTGATGGGTGAATTGCTGAATGATAAACTCGTTGAGCTTGTGAAAGTAAGCTATTTTTAGGTTGGTGTTATTTGTGTTGCAATGTATTTTTAGTCAAAGGTTATTTTTTGTGTTAATAGTTACTTATATTGGTTGATGATATTTCTCAGTTTTTCTTATTGCCAATTTTTTGTCGTACAGTGACTTCAGACATGAGTAATTGTATGTAATTTTTTTATTTGTTATATAGTGCCTTGAGGCACGGGTAATTTCTAGTATATATATATAGTAACATTAAAAATAAAAAATAGTAACATTCAAATATAAACAAAAAAGTTATCATTTAAACATAAAAAATAATACCATTTAAATACAAAAAAAATAGAAACATTTAAACATAAAAAAATAGTAACATTTAATGTTAATATTTTTAAAAAATAACAATAGTAACATGCTTAACAAAAACATTAATATGCTTAAAAAAAAAAAATAATATGGAACATTGAACAAAATTGAAAATAAAAATGGTAACATTCAAACCCATAAGTGGAAGAAGAAGCCTTCAAGTAACACTGAAAAAATAATAACATGGTCAATAAAAAATAGATAGATGCAAAAAATTGTAATATGGTCAATTAGAAAAAAATAGTAACATTGACAACAAAAAACACAGTAATATGAAACATTGAAAGAATTTGAGAATTATTTATCAAAAAAATAAAAATAAAAATAAAATTAAGGATCAAATTAAAAACACATTGAGCAAGTTTTTCAACCTTTTTTTTTTTTTTTTTTCGGAAACCAACAACATAGAAGTTTGTAATGATTAGAACGCAGTAGAAGATATGATAGTTGTTGATGATGTTCTAATCGTATTGTTTTTGATGTTATGGAGGAATAAATGATATCTACAGAGAAAGACTTATTGTACTGGATTGATGACCTTCTTCTAACAAGAGATAATATAAATTTCAATTTCAATTTCAATTTAGGAGTGAATTAAGGGATAATAATTTTTAATTTAAAAAATTAATTTAAAGTTACTTTCAAAGTTTTTGAAGGTTTCTATAATTGAACATAATAACACTGTTAAGGATATTTTTCAAATTTAAAAAAATAATGGATTACAGTACTTATTAGTAAGATAAAAAATGAACTTATCACCAAAAAAACTTCTTTGATGGACTCAAGTCATTATAAGTCCATCAAGGAGGACTCACTCCAAACTTTTACTTTTTTTAATAAAAAAATAGAACTATTTTTTATTTTATTGTGATAAAAATTAAAAATATAAAAAAAGTTTGACAGTCATTTATATTTAAAAAATTATGAAAATAAAAATAAAAAACATGTTTGATATTAAACTTTTTGATTAATTTTTTAATCTCAAGTAAGTTGTTTCTCAAAATACAATTGAGAAGATCACTACCCAACTCCACCCAAATCCCACCAACAAACCCACTGAAAACCTACGACCAACCACCCAACCCCACTCACCCATCGAAAGTTCACCATCAAACCTCCCAAAATCTACCAAAACTTCTAAACCTCCTTGATCATTTTCCAACTAAGAGAGAGAGAGACGACTTGAGCTTTGATCTCTTCGTTTGGCATCAACATAGACCATAGAGAAAAAGAGAGACAAAGAGACAGACAAAACAGATAGATGAGAGGAGCTAAGAGGACTTTTATAGTTCCAACCAATATTCACTGATTTTGGTGCTAACGGGGTTCGATGGATGAACCTCATTAAAGACTTCTCTTGGAGTTTTATGGATGGACATCGTTAAAGACCTCCCTTGGCGCGTGTGTTTTTATTTTTTATTTTTTCTGAAAACATCAATTTTTGGCTTTCAAAGTTTGGGCTTATTTCTAAAACAAGGTAGGTGGAAAAAAAACAAAAACATAACACAAAAATAAAAAATAAAACAATTATCAAACGCAACCTTAGGAACACAAAACAATTTAAATGATAAATAATAATATCCTTCGAAGGGAACAGAGCATATGGTATACAATATCAGAATTAGAATCTCTTCTCAACAAAAAATTAAATATCTTGTACAATTCTCATGTAGTATTCAATATCTGTTTTCTCATATTTTTGTTTTTGTTCATTGCTATTTATTACAAGAGAATAATCAGGCAAATAAAGCACAAAAGAAAAAGGAAGGAGAGAGCCCAAGAAAAGGTAACTTTTCTTTTATCTTATTCCTCAGTATGGTACTCTGTGGGTGGATCAACTAATTTCTGAGGCAAAACAAGCCTACAATTTCTTCACATAGAGATTGACCCCATTCCCAGGCTCTATGACCAAATTCAAAGCCGGTGAGTGGATATAAGTAGGCGAAAGTGTGAAAGAGAAGTTGGTCAGGATGAAAGATAAGAGTATCTTGAGCTCCACCATGGCCAAGTTCTGTCCGAGACAAACCCGAGGGCCGACACCAAATGGCATGTACAAGTGTGGAAGCTTGCAGGCACCTGTGATTCCATTTGCAAATCTCTCTGGGTTAAACTTGTAGGAATCGGGTCCCCAAATTTCAGGGTCAGTGTGCAGTGTTAACACAAAGGTCCAGAGGTTAACACCCTTAGGAACATTTATGTCACCAAATTTCATGTCCTTCAAGGCCTCTCTTGACACTACTGCTACTGGAGAATAAAGTCGTAATGATTCATGAATCACCATCGTCGTCTGCAAAACAAGGTCACAATGCAGAGTTTTAGTATTTTATAAACGACCAATCTCATTGTAATTAACCTTAAAACATTCATGCTCAAATTCTGAAAAACTAAGGTGTTTGTTGTGGTGTCACAATGAACATATATCTATCTACCTGTTTCATCTTCCGCAACATGTCAGCATCTGGAGTTTGGCCTTTGCAAACTTCAAGAACCTCGGCACGAACGCGAGCTTGCCATTCTGGATGCGAAGCCAAAAGCATAAGCAACCATGTGGCGGAGACAGCGGTGGTCTCATAGCCAGCCAAGTAGATGTTTTTGCAGTTATCAACGATGAATCGGTCGAGTGCTTCTGGAGCCAGGTTTGTGTTTTTGGCACCTTCAAGAACCATTTGCAATAGGTCCTTCTCATACCCAGCCTCTTTCCTCTCTTTCACTACCTCCAAAACCAATCTGTGAATTTCCTTCTCGAGTGCCCATTGCTCCCTGTTGGTCTTAGTAGGAAGATGTCTGCAGCATCCGATTGAATCAATTCATTTCATTAGAAATAGTGTGTTAATTAAACTCATTTGAATTGATCATATAAACCTTGTAAAAAATAGAAGAAAATTGAGAAAGTACCTCATGCCAGGAATACCAGTAGACAAAACTCTCTTGGATGAAGCTTCTTGGAGAGCTCTGAGCCTATGGAAAATCTCTTCTCCCTTGGTGTAGTTGCTCCCGAAACAAGCTCTTGATATTACATCCCCAGAAAAACTCCTCATATGTTGGTCGATTTTTATGTCGGCAATTCCACCCTGAGAATCAACTATACTTTTCCACGAGTTGATCATGGTGATTGTAGACTCTGTAATCAAGTTCATCATTCCCTACAAACGATTCAGAGTAAACCAACATGACAATTATTATGTTGTGTCAAACAAAACAAAGGGAGAAAGCAAACAGATTTCTTTAAGAACAAAAGCCACAACTTTGGTGGTAATTTTAAATCGTACCTTAACCTTGTCCATGTACAATTCAGGTGCTATGATTTTCCTTTGGTGAGCCCAATAAGGTCCATTTGAGGTCAGAATGCCTTGGCCAAGCAAAGAACCACGCTCTTTGGCTTGATATGAAGGCTTCCCCAGGTCCAAAGATGTGCATGTGGTTATTTCTCTCACCATATCAGGTTGAGTTAATTCTAATATTAGTGTGTTACCCAAAGAAAACATGAACTTTTCACCTGTATATACATCAAACAAGGACAATGAATTCATAAAAACAAATGAATACAAAAGTAAGAAAAATGAAAACTCAATGTTACATTATTTTTGTCATAAGTTTCATTTGATTGAATTATGGGGGTGATTACCATATGATTTTGGCGCCCCCTGCCCCCCAAAGCAAAGAACTTAGATAATGAAAAAGGACAGCCCTAACCCCAATGTTAACCGATAATAAATACGATTTATAAATTTAGACGTACTATGTTCAAATTTTGTTAACTCTTTGTGGCACTAATATTTTAGTTTCGGTATGAATGATATGTCTTTGATCGGTCTAGATAAAAAAATTAATATAGATATGTATAAACTAATCTGAATATCTTCATCGTTGAACCAAAAAAAATTAAGACAGTCCGATTCCTATCAGGACAGATGGGTCTCCATTCTCTTCGGTTTCAGATTAAAAAGTCCTATCAAAATATTCAACCTTGGCGACTCTGACTTATAGCAACAAGCTTATTCCAAAATTTGCCAACCACCACAAACTCAGGTTTGTGCAATGAACATAGCATCGTTGGTGGAGGAATTATACAAATAGCGGGTACAACACGGGAGTCGTGTCATGTGCTGTACACCATCAATAAAATATTATATATTTTTAATAAAAAAATTATTATCTATCACTTTATTAAATTTTTTTTGATAAAGTCTAACTTGATGTGCAGGGTCATTTGATGTCTATATATAATCGAAATTCTTTTCTAGTTCATCTATTTTTTAATTCCTGAACATCGGCAAAAAAATATAGGACTTGTCTGATTTATATTTAAAAAAATAGTATTTGAAAATTATTTTTGAAAAGAATTTTAAAAAATTATTTTTAAAAATTTTTAGATTGTAAAATTTGTTTAGTTATATATTTTTAAAAATAAATTTGAAAAACAAAAATTATAAAATTTGTTTGAATAATAATTTACCATTCCCACCTCTCCTTCAACTCTATCTCTCTCTCTCCTTTCAACTCCCTGTCTCTCTCTTTCACCACCCAATAACCCACAACCACGAAAGAAGTTGAAGTAGCGAAAGCGAACGGTCATCTTCTTCGAGCTCATCATCAAGCAAGAAAATTGGATCAAAATTATTATCATCCGGGCTTCCATCAACCAACAAATTATCACAATTAAATGATTTTTCAAGGTTGCTTGTGTAGGAACTGGAAATGGGTGTTGCTGAAATTCAAATTTTGAAGCCTCGAAGCTGTGAATTAAGAAAGTTTACAGAGTTCTTACGGGCAACCTTCAAAGAGATAGCTTTGAAGACAGCGAGATTAGGGAGAGACAAATTGAAAGGTACTTCTTAAGAATTAGGGCTCTAAAAGGTTTTGTAAGATTGGGGAATTTCGAAGTAAAAGAAAATTTTGAGAATGTTGGCGGAGTAAAAGAGTGCAGATTTGGTGAATTTTGGGAGTTGGGGATTTGATTTTTGGTTTGAGGACGGAAGAGGCAGTGAGGCGGTGGAGGGAGTTCAATGAGGCGGCGGAGTCGGTCCCTCTTTTTTGTTTTCTATGAAATTCGGAGGGGAGACCTCATTAATTTTGAGATAGATTATTTCTCTTATTTTTATTTTACCTTAAAAAATAATTAAAATATCATTTAATTATTCTCTAAAATCACATTTCATTTTCCAAAATTTTGGAGAATAAAAACATTAAACAAATAACATCTCCTTGTTTTTAAAATTTTGAAAACAAAAAATTATTTTTGAAAACCAAACCACGCGGGCAAATAGTTTTCGAAGAAACTGTAAAAAGTACTGTAATCAAAAAGAAAGTAGGAATAACATTTCTGAAAATCTTTTTACCCATTTATGGCATAAAATAGGTAGTAAAGACATGAAGAAATAAAGTTCCAATTATATATGGAGCGTCATATATCATGTGTTATTTTTGTAAATTAATTAATAATTAAAATGTATGATGAACAGAGAAGATGAATATGCAAGAAAATAAATACCATATTGCTTTTGCCATTTCTCGAAGAAGGGAAAAAGAACATTGGCACAGTCGTGGTTCTCCGGAGCTCCACAGGTTGGTGACTTTGGGGTTCTGGACTTCTTGATCTCCAAGATGTTTCCCAGTAAAATAGTCGGCGGTGGACCGGTTATCCCTTGCTTCCTCAACGCGGCTTGAAGCTTCTTTGGCTTCGCCACCAGTGCATTATACAGACGTATGAACAATCCCACTATTCCAACCACAGTAATGGACACTAACACCTTCAATACAATATGGATATCCATTGCCAATGTCCTCTCTCTCTCTCTCTCACACACAAACACACACAGAGAAACACACCAGAGAGCGAAAATGGGATCTTGGGATGGTGGGTTGTTGAACTTCAATGTCCAGAGTCACGGTAATATAGTGGAAGGTAGGGATAATATGGTCATTGAATATATGACCGCATAGAAAGAGTGGAGTTTTGTAATGGGAAGGACAGCGCCGTCAATGTGGAATGAGAGGAGGAGTTTGGTATTTTATCTGTGAGAAACGAGGAAGAAAAATGGGTCAACCAACAGCGGCTTTGTTGGTCTAAAGGCACATGCATTTTTTTTTAAGTAAATTATACTTTATCCATTGAATTATTATCTTTATTTTTTTTCTATTTTTTAACTATATAAATTTTCACATTATATTCAAAAATATCATTCAATTTTATTTTACTTACTCATGAATCTTATATGTCTTACACTTACTCAATTTAGGTGGCATAAAGACATTTATCTTACAAAAGTCATGAGGAGACATGATGATAATATTGATATTTGGGAAAAATTATTCATTTCTAGTCTTTCTACTTTGTTTGAAGAAAAAATAAGAATTAGACTCGGAAATAAAATAGAAGAATAATTATTCCTTATAATCTGTACACCCATGATGAACTAGTCAATGAATGTATTAATGAAAATTTGACTCCAAATAATGATTTAAACCTCAAAGCCTACTTAGTCTTACCAAAAAAAAAAACCCAACTTGGTCCAATGATACTCTTTGAAGACTATCTTCTTGAAATAAAGGATTGCAGTATCACCCAAAAAAAGAAAATAAAAAAGACAACTTGTGATAGGAAAAAAAAAAGTGTTAGATGAATTTTGCTTGCCATCTTGATTCAAGTCCTTCCCTAAAAATTAATTCTATTAAGACTAAAAAATATTCTAAATTCAAAAAATATATATATGAGTACAATGTTCTTTTTTATAAAAAGATAAAATTCAAGAGAAAATCTTATCAAACTAAAAATATAAAAAAATGATATTCTACAAATATTACAAATCTAGCCACTATGCCAATAAATATTTAACTAAATAAAAGTTCAATGACATTATTCAACATGATGATCTCATACATCACTTATACAAAATATTGCTTAATGACACGAAAAATTCTTGTTTGTCTTCTGATGATGATGAACGTTTTGAAATAAATTCAACTATTGAATCAAGTAGTCAAAAGTGATATTAATAACAACTAATGTTCTTTATCTTGTCAAGCTCAACAAAGTTATAGTTGACACCAATGGTTTAAAAATTAATGTTTTTTTAAAATCTCGATCTATAATTTTCAATTGAATAAATTAAAATGCAGATCCAATAGCTAAAAAAAAAGCTATTGAAAAATATTTGAAAACTTCTATAAGAAAGAACAATCAGATAGAAAATTTAAAAAACCTTCTCTAGTTAATCAATTTTCTTTGTAAGAAGTTTTAAATCATTTTAACTCTGAATCTTTTTCAAAAGAAGAAATCAAAAATTAATAATCTATATAATAAAGTAATTTATAATTTAAATCTTAAAAGATAAACAAAATGAATTTTTTTATTCACGGTTGAAATCGCTTTAAATTTTACTTTAAAGTTAATCTAACGGTCAATATTAACACCCTAAATTTAATAGAAAAAATAGGGCTTTAAGGATGTGTTTGAAGCAACTTTTTAAAAGCACTTGTTACAAATTATTTTTCACAAATATTTTAGAAAAAAATAGTGTTTGAAACCGTCTCACCACTACCTCTGCCACCATCACCACCACCACCGCCACCGCCACCATCGTTGTCATTGCCACCGTCGTCCCCATTGCCACCACCTCCACCATTACCGCCCCCACCAACGCCACCACCCACCACTGTTCCCATCACCACTACCACCATAGCTACCGTCGCCACCACCCCAATTATCGCCGCCACCATCGCCACGGTCATTGCCACCCACCATAACCATCACCATCTCTTACCACTACCACTATTACCTACCACTTCTTATTCTCACTACAAACCGATGCTTAAATTTTTTTATCTTTTTTTTTTGTTTGTAATTTGATTTTAGATATGAATACAAATATATTTATTGTTTACCATTTTTTATTACTTTGTGCCTTCAAACATAGGTAATAACTAATCTTAAATATGAGATCAATCAATTAAAATCTAAATTAGAGATCATAAAAGAAGATTATATTTTCTTGAGAATTATGAACAATATCAAATTAAGATTCACAAAACTCTAGCAAAAAAATATCAATATCTTTTCCTTCTTTAGCAAATTATATATCAAAAATAGTATGTTAATATTACATTGATAATAAATCAAAAAAATGTTGTCAAAACTATTGCACTTTTTGACAATGAGGCTAATATGAATTGTATTAAGGAATTATTAATTCTATCAAATACTTTGAAAGAGCAATGTTATAGGGAACGAATTTGATGATCTAATAATGTGACTTCAATTCAACTATTGAATTAATTGTGAGTTTCAATATTAGGTAGAGCCCACTACCAATCTAATGATTGTATTGAATTATGTCCTCAGATTAGTTCCTTAAATTATGTCAAAATAGTATTTTCCTTTCGATAAAAGTAAGAAGTGGGGGTCAATCCTGTCCAAGTCTAAAACTTATTCGGTATTAATTATATCACTCGCTCAATTTTTAAGCATTTTCGTCCATTTTTATTACTTAATTACCCTTACATGTTTTACTCCTAAAAATATGCTGCCACATCTCTCTCCTTTATCTTCTCCTTCCGCAAAATTCCCATATTTGTAACAACACTCCATCATCAAGTCCTCCACGAAAACACATGCTGTGAGGAATATATAGTACATATACATACACTCGTATATACATATGAGAGAAGAGGATAGAGGGTTTAGGGGTACTGACTGAACTCGAGGTGGCCACCGGGAGGGGCAAAGGTGTTGTGGCTAATGGAGGATCACCGCCGAGCCAAAAGCACCCTCTTACCATTCAACAGAAACACTGCCACCCCCACTTTTGGCACCGGCGACGGCAACGGCGATGCAGACTTCGACAGTGCCTTGTTCTTACCAATCGTCAGCAACCACTTTTACACTATGCAGTTATGGTAACTAAACAGCTGTCACTCCTACTTATAGGATCCACCAAATCACCTATAAATTGACACAACCTCCTTTACCCTCCCACTTCAAACCCTAAGCCCTTGCTGCAAAATCTATTTCTTCGTAATTACAGAGCACAAGCCGAAGCAATGGCACAATTTAGCATCTACAAGGCCTTGGTTATCGCCTTCATCGTCGCGGTTGTCACCGTATTTGCACAGGATAGTGGGATGGCACTAGCGGCGTCGCCAGACGCTGGAGCGACGTTTTCTCGGCCGATTTTCGGCGTCGTGATCGAGACTTCTCTCATTGTCCTGTTCTTTCTGTTTAGACATTAATGTATGTTCGTTACGAGAAATTATATTTTGGAATGTTTAATTAGACGTTAATATTTTTGAATGTTATTTTTAAAAAAATATTAATATTTAATATTATTATTTTTTGTTTTGTATGTTAATATTGAATGTTTCTATTTCCTTAACTGTTAATATTGAATGTTTTGAATGTTAGTTTTGAATGCTATTATTTAGGGAGAATTATACTCAAATCCTCTCAAATTTGTTATTTAATCACTCAAATTCTTTGATATTTGAAATATTATGCACAAACCTTATGCAATTTGTAGATGACATTTGTTAGTATATTAATTAGGAAATTACATTTAGACCCCCTATAAATTATATTCAAAGAGTATAATTGTATACTAATTATGATTTTTTAAGTAAAAATTAGTATTTTATTTTTGATTTTATTTCAATAAATAATACAATAAAACATGAATTTTTATTTTAAAATATTAATATTCTATTTTTTATTGGAGTATTTTTAGTCTAAATATGACATTTTAAACTTGAAGGACCTAAGTATTATATGCTTACAAATTTCAGGGGGTCTAAGTATAATTTATTAACAGATCTAAGTGTTATGTACGTACAAACTTCAGTGGGTTTGCATATAATATTTCAAATGTCAGAGGATCTGAGTGATTAAGTGACAAACCTTAAAAGATTTAGATGTAATTCTTCGTATAATTTATTGTTTTGAATACTATTTTTTTGTTTTATTTTTTGAAATATTAATATTAAATATTACTATTTTTTGTTTTGAATGTTATTATTTTTCTCATATATACGTACTAGTTATTGTCAATATTTGAAGGCACTATGTTACACATAAAATTTTAACACACAACAATAAAATGTCTGAGTAATATCAACTTACATACATAATATATATAATTAAACCTTTATGTCACAAAAGTCACATTATAATCATTGGTATCACTTATAATTTTTTTTATCGGTGATTAACTTGAGCTTTGAGTTTTTTTTTTTTTGAGGAGAGGGTGAGGTATGGCGATATTGGTGATTAATGGCGTTTGTATTGTAGCTTTTATTTATTTATTTTTGGTATGAATAATAGCTTGAAAGTTATATTATATTTATACTTTTTATTTGTATGAAAGTGGTGATGACGATTAACTTGACTTTGAATTTTTTTTTTTTTTGGTGCCATTGGTATCATTTTTATTTTTTTATTGATGGTTACCTTAGGCTTTGGATTTTTTTTTTTTGCTGGGGAGGGGGTGGGGGGATGGAGACATTGGTGATTAGTGGGTGTTGTTTTCGGTTGGACATTTGCTCTCATGTGGAGCAGTGGCTATGGAGAGAGAGAGAGAGAGAGAGAGAGAGAGCAATGACCATAATCAACCAAGCCATTATGAATGAGCAACTCCCAAGTAGTGGAAGAATTGCAACAGTAATATTTTTTTAAATTTTCAAACAAAAACAGCATTGAGCAGAACAAAGAAAATAACATACGTTTTTTGCATTCCAAAATAGAGACCAAAACTTAGAACCCAAATGGTATTTATCATTCCTCACGCAATACATACACAAAAAGGAAAAAGAAAGCATAACAATCACACTAAAAAGTAAAAAAAAAAAAGTGCATCCATTTCACATAATTTTTGGAATACGTACATTGATATAATAAGATCCTTTATTTACAAAAACTAGGTCCTCACTTCACTTCATCAACCACCATATAACACTTGTGACAAATAAAAGGAACGAAAATTACCTTCTAATTTATAAAATCTCTACCAAAGATAGAAATACTTTAAATTTAGTTAAACCATTATAACAACAATACCAACAAAAAATGCAGGCGAAAAATTATATAGAGAACACCAAAAATTACATTCAAAGCCGTTAATGTAACAACAAAGCCACCCACAAAACACAATTAAAATGCAACAAAGTGTTGCCATTGGGTTATAGGGGTTCTGTCTAACCTACATATCTGGAAAATCTTGCTACAGAGAAAAAGCAAGAGGAGGCATTCGATGAGAGAGAGATAAGCGACTTTATGGCTTGAACGGGGATGAGGAAAGAGAATTTGAATGAGAGAAATAGAGTATGAATGAGAATGAGGAGATAAAATGAGTGTAGTAGAATCCTGTAGGAGTGTAGAGTCCACTAATGTGGGTAGAAAAATAAATTTAGGCATTGGCGAGAAAGATATACAATTATCTACTCTTCTTCTATATAAGTTAATAACTATTAAAGTAAAATTTACTTTGCCAATTTAAAATTTTATTATTAGTTGGTGATACCATATCCTTAATGCTTACATGATATTACCGTAATATTGAAGATTCTTTCGTGTATATGAAACTTTGAAAGTGAGAGTGAGAGAGAAAGAGAGAAGGAGACCTATATGAGAGATAGACTTAAATCCAAATAAAGTTTCGAGTGGTCATTTTTGTCAAATGAATCTAAAGAAAAATAGACCAACCCCCAAAATTTCCCTATTATTTTCAAATAACCCGGCCCATAACCAAGCTTAGTTTTTTGTTTTGGAGCAGACCAACCCTAGTTTATAATGTGTTGCAAGGGATGGTGGACTTGTGAGGCCTCTAAACATGCTTTGTTTGGAGACCTTCTAAGCCCGCCATATGTTTTCAGATTTGTCATGAACAAGGAAATTGGATGATGTATACCACAAGTTTTATAAATGTCATTGCAGTGGTGATTTAGTTGTGTTTTTTCTTATTTTACCAGCTTAACATGTTATTTTAACCCGCTAATATCACGTCGAGATGATATAACTGCATGGATTTTCTAACTTTATTTTGACAATCCAGGACGGTAGGACCAGCATTCACCAAGCCTCAAACGAAATACACAATGAAATACTTAGAAACACAAAACAATTTAAATAACTAATAACATCTTTCAAAGACTATGAAGCATGAATTTTTCGTTGAAATCGGTGTACTCGTATCCAATATTGTATCTAATACGATATTCGTCGGATGTTTAAAGATACGTATCAAATATACCTCTTACGTATTTAATAATAATTAAATATTATGATACTTCACGGATACTTTTGTGTTCAAGTAATATATATAATTTTTTAGTTGAATTTTTAATATTTCCCTTTGAATTCACATATCATACAATACATTAACTAAAATTCATACTATTTCTAAGGTACATGAATATTTTTTTAAGTATTATTTACAATTACATGTCAAAAAAGCATAAAATAAATCTATTACGTTATAGTTTGAGCAAAAATTACTTCTAAATAAATCGACTCGATAAATATTAGATTTGATTCATTTAATTAATCACTTCATTTTGTGAATATACTATAGTGATACAATATATATTTTCTTGAAACTAAAAAAAATTACTAATTTTCCTTATTGTATTAAAGAATTACCAAATATATAAGTATTAAGTTAGTTAAAAATAATAAAAATATTTTATTATAGACGTATTTTTATCGTATCCGTATCCTATTTTTTAAGATTTTATCGTATCGTCATATTCGTATCTTGTCATACTTATCTTTCGTATTTGTATTCGTACTTCATAGTTCAAAGGGATCAGAGGATATCATATACAATATCACAATTAGAATCTCTTTTAAACAAAAATTAAGTATCTTGTACGATTCTCATGTAATGCTCAATCAATAGAGTAACTGTTTTCACATATTTTTGTTCATTGATATTTATTTATTACACGAGAATAATCAAGAAAATAAAGCACAAAATAAAAAGGAAAGGAGAGAGCCTAAGAAAAGGCAACTTCTCTTTTTATGTTGTTCCTCTCAGTATGGTTACTCTATGGGTAGATCAACTAATTTCTGAGGCACAACAAGCTTACAATTTCTTCACAAAGAGATTGACCCCATTCCCAGGCTCTATGACCAAATTCAAGGCCGGCGCGTGGATGTAAGTAGGCGAAAGCGTGAAAGAGAAGTTGGACAGGATGAAAGATAAGAGTATCTTGAGCTCCACCATGGCCAAGTTCTGTCCGAGACACACCCGAGGGCCGACACCAAAGGGCATGTACAAGTGTGGAAGCTTGCAGGCACCTGTGATCCCGTTTGCAAACCTCTCTGGGTTAAACTTGTAGGAATCGGGTCCCCAAATTTCAGGGTCCGTGTGCAGTGTCAACACAAAGGTCCACAGGTTAACACCCTTAGGAACATTTATGTCACCAAATTTCATGTCCTTCAACGCCTCTCTTGACACTACTGCTACTGGAGAATAAAGCCGTAATGATTCATGAATCACCATCGTCGTCTGCAAAACAAGGTCACAGTGTAGAGTTTTAGTATTTTATAAACGACCAATCTCATTGCAATTAACCTTAAAACATTCATGCTCAAATTCTGAAAAACTAAGGTGTTTGTTGTGGTGTCACAATGAACATATATCTATCTACCTGTTTCATCTTCCGCAACATGTCAGCATCTGGAGTTTGGCCTTTGCAAACTTCAAGAACCTCGGCACGAACGCGAGCTTGCCATTCTGGATGCGAAGCCAAAAGCATAAGCAACCATGTGGCGGAGACAGCGGTGGTCTCATAGCCAGCCAAGTAGATGTTTTTGCAGTTATCAACAATGAATCGGTCGAGTGCTTCTGGAGCCAGGTTTGTGTTTTTGGCACCTTCAAGAACCATTTGCAATAAGTCCTTCTCATACCCAACCTCTTTTCTCTCTTTCACTACTTCCAAAACCAATCTGTGAATTTCCTTCTCGAGTGCCCATTGTTCCCTGTTGGTCTTAGTAGGAAGATATCTGCAGCATCCGATTGAATCAATTCATTTCATTAGAAATAGTGTGTTAATTAAACTCATTTGAATTGATCATATAAACCTTGAAAAAAAATAGGAGGAAATTAAGGAAGTACCTCATGCCAGGAATACCAGTAGACAAGACTCTCTTGGATGAAGCTTCTTGGAGAGCTCTGAGCTTATTGAAAATCTCTTCTCCCTTGGTGTAGTTGCTCCCGAAACAAGCTCTTGAAATTACA